ACCAACACTGTTAAAAATAATAGTACCGCGACGAGTTCTATGCGATGAGCCGCTGACAGTGGAGCTACACTCCTTTTGTGATGCATCACAGCATGCATTTGGATCATGTATTTACTTGAGGTTAGGTACTTTAATAACGACATCACTGTTCATCTACTTTGCTCAAAATCTAAAGTGGCTCCGATTAAGCCCACAACTATACCGCGCTTAGAGCTTTGTGCTGCTGTCTTGGCAGCTCGTTTGTGCAAATCAGTAAGGCAATCTTTACGGTGTGAAGTCACACGCGAAGTGCATTGGAGCGATTCCAGCATAGTATTGAGATGGCTTCACAGCAGTTCCAGTAAATTAAAATGATTTGTTGCAAACAGAATAGCGGAAATATGAGATTTGACTGATCGGTTATCATGGCATCACGTGCCAACATCTCTTAATCCAGCAGATCTTATTTCCAGAGGCTTGAGCCCTACTCAGATTAAAGACAATTCATTGTGGTGGTCAGGTCCAAAATTTTTACGACACTTTGAAGATGTATGGCCTGTACTAAATGAGAAACCGAGTGTTCAGGATTTGCCGGAGCTTAAAGCGAGCGCCATTTCAGCCAATCTGTCTACTATGGAGGACCCATTCATAAAGTTTGAAAACTATTCCCGTTTTACTATGCTGAGGCGTTGTTTTGCTTACGTTTAAAGATTTTTACACAATATCAAAATTACAAATAATCGTTACTCAGGTTCACTTGCCACTGATGAACTACAAAAGTCGTTTATAACTTTGGGTCGTATTGCACAACAGCAATGTTTAAAGCAAGAATATGACTTACTAGCTAAGAAACAATCACTAAGTTACAAGTCGTAAATATTATCTTTGTCACCCTTTTTTAGTGACGAAAACTTGATTCGTGTCGGTGGTAGGATTCAGGCCTCCAACGTAGGGTATGATAAAAAACACCCAATTTTGTTGCTAGGTTCTCACAATTTTACTAAATTAATATTCAAATACGAGCGTAAGCGAAATTTACATGCCGGCCCACAGTTATTGCTGTGTGTTGTACGCGAATATATCTGGCCAATCAATGGTAGGCGTCTTGCTCGAAAGACAGTGCACGATTGCGTTAAGTGTAGTCGGCTGCGCAAACAAACATTACAGCCCATGATGGGCAACTTGCCATCCCAGCGTGTCACGCAAGACTTCCCATTTCGATCTGTGGGAATTGATTTCGCTGGACCTTTTCTCACTTTAAATAGGAAAGGCAGAGGTGCAAAATTAGTAAAGAGCTATTTGTGCTTGTTCGTATGCCTCAGATACAAGTGTTTACACCTTGAGGCTGTAAGTGATCTTACAAAGGACGCTTTTATACTAACTTTTCGACGATTTGTATCACGGCGCGGTAAACCAGCTGAGGTTTTCTGTGATAACGGACGCAATTTTGTATCTGCCGCGAAGGAGTTGAATATATTTTTAAACACTCATGCATCATCTCTATCTGACTTTGCGGTCGAAGAAAATGTCAAATTCACGTTTTTGCCATCTTACGCTCCTCATTTTGGAGGAATTTGGGAGGCCGGAGTGAAGTCGGCTAAATACCATGTCAAACGTGTCATGGGTAACTCGCACTTGACTTTTGAGGAGTTGTCCACTTTAATTGGCCAAATAGAAGCTGTGTTAAATAGTCGCCCCATATGTCCTCTATCCACTTCTCCTGACGACTTTTCTTGCCTCACCCCCGGTCACTTTCTGATTGGTCGAGCTCTGACAACTTTACCGGCACCAGCATTGGAAGATCACACCTCTAATAACTTGCAACGCTACGCACGCCTTCAACAAATCCATCAGCATTTTTGGCGACGCTGGCAGCAAGAATTCCTTGCAGAAATCCAACAGAGAAGTAAATGGAGAGTGAACAAAGCCAATGCCAAAGTAGGTGATCTGGTACTTCTGAAAGAAGACAATCTACCTCCACTATGTTGGCGTCTTGGACGCATCTACAAACTGTTTCCTGGCTCTGACAATATATCAAAAGTTGCTGATGTAAAGACTCAAAGGGGAGTCGTGCGACGTCCATTAGTTCGCCTGTGCCCCTTACTCTCATTGGACCACACTCAAGGTTGAAAGCCAGAGCTTTCCACGGGCGGGTGGATGTTCGCGCCTGCGTTTCGACAACAGCAATCTCCCATGGACCCAAAAACGATTTAATTCATAGGAACTTTTTACTTTTTACACTACCTTCAGATTTTTGTCATTCACATTGTTCTCACGTAATGGCGACGTACTAGCTTTATAAAATAATTAGATTTTTCATGTTAAAGTATCGAAATACAAACGTTTACCACATTACGGAGTTTCATCTATGTCCAAAGAAGAGACAAAGGGTTACTTAATATAATGACAAATAACCCCATTTTTCGCTAGTAGGTTCATACTTATTGAAATCCCTGTATTTATCAATCAGCTCGCGATAATATTGGTTTTGTAATTATAAACGACTAGAGATCGCCCGCGACTTCCTCTGCGTTAACTTCGTTTCTTGAAAATCCCTCTAGAACCTAACATTTTTTCGGGATAAAAGTAGCGTATGTGTGAATCTAGGGTGTCAGCTAACTCCATACCAAATTTTATTAAAATCGCTCCAGCCGTTTAGACGTGAAGAAGTAAAAAACATACACACTCACATACTCACAAACTTTCGCCTTTACAATATTAGTGTGATAATTCTGCAAAATTCAAAGTAAATAATATAGAGTTTTATAGGTAAATCACCCTACGCCTATAAGTATTGCGTTGTTGTAGCTAAGAACCAAGTTCCCATCTACTTCTAGGGCTACAAACAAAGCTACTTTAACAGTCGGGACCCAATATTGAAAAAAAATGTATTCTTGAATATCTAATGGGTCCCGACTGTTAAAGTAGCTTTGTTCCTTATTAACAGAATTATAGACTACTGGACTTGTTTTTTTCCTTTCAGTTTTTATTTGAAGTATTTTATAGATAGGACCGACAAATGACTCCACCCCACCTGATGTTAAGTGAAGGTGAAGTCCAGACGCGAAGATAGCTGATACAGCAGTTCTACCTGCCACACCAGCCATCCTCACCCTGCCGGCCTGCATGTTGCTTCTTCACGCCTCTTTTAAAGGATCCCAGGTTGTAAGAGGGAGGGAACACGCGAGCGGGTAGAGCATTTCATTTACGGATAGTGCGACAAAGAAATGAGTCTCCAAATTTCTTTGTACGCGTTGGAATTTTGGTCACAGTTAGACGGTGACAAAGTAGGCCAGCGCGCGTGGTCCTCTTAAGGAAAGGGGAAGGTGGGATAAGAGAGAATAACTCAGAACACTCGCCGTGGTACAGACGATAGAACGCGCGATGTTTAATTTCTTTGTATCCTGTGTAATGTACTACAATAAATGTTTTATTTATATAATTGTTTGAAAGTCGGGCAATAAATTACTTGGGCTGCCCTACTATAATTTCGCAGTAGTTGGTCATTGGATGGGTGACCAAAACCTTGCTATCTCGAGCTCCTCCGTGCTTTAGAAGGTATGTTAAAGCCGTTGGTTATCCCGGCCGCATCTGCAGCTGTTAGCACCCACTAATCGCACTGGGCAGATGTAGTGGGCCATGCCATGACCCATTCTCCTTATTCTATATAGAATACCTATGCCCGATCATGTGGGGACAATAATAGGCTGATGATGATAGTTTAAGGAAACGCAAAACAAATGTCACTTCATAAATTTTATTTAGGAGTCGAATAGGTAAATAAAACATAGACATAAATAGATGTACATGTATATATTATAGTATAATATTTACAACCATCTGGCACAACATAATCGCCGCTGTACAGCGTTCAACAATTCGCTACATACGAGTATCATGGTAACGCGGTCGCCCGGCGCGCGTATCTTGTCTCCGCTATGATTTTCCGTCAAATTAAAAACAGCTTCGTATCGTTTATAATTATTTAAGCGAAATTACAAAAACTGGAAGAACTTAAGTACTCTGGAAAACTTAAGCGAAATTTCACGGAAGTTTTATGGAGCAAAAACGTTGGCAACAGTTGGTATACGAACGAACCGGTGCCAACTATCCGGAATACATCATTCTTAAAATACTACAAATATCATAGTTTTGATTATACATATTTCGTGTACTTATTTCACGTACTGATTGTATTGTAGGGAACTCTAACAGGGATGTTTGGATTTACTCAAGCGCGGCAGAATAGCATAAGGGGGGGGGTAACTTTGCATCTGAAGTATTTTGAATAGAATATTGATCTGGCCGTACGAAAGGGTAGAATATAGGAAACAAAATATTCGTGCACGTCAGACAATGAAAAGGGATGTTACGTGAATCCTTCAGTAGCTTCTATTCAAAAGACCGTCGATTTGGACACGACCAAAAGTCATGGTCGTTTGTTGAAAATATAGTTTTGCTGCCCTAGACCAGAGCTTAAAACCGGTTTAAAAAATTCCGGTAAATAAAGGTTAATACCGGTTTTTAGTGAAGGTTTCGTTCGGAGCGCGCCTGAAATGAAAGCGGTACCTAAAACCTTAATAAACCGGTTGAATCCAGAGCGACACGTGCACGCATCGGCATCGCTTGAAGTTTGTTTTGTTTGAACTAATCAAGTCACAACTTGTTAATGCTCAGAGATTGATGCTTTCACTGAGACGTTCGCTAGCGTCTAGTGAGTCAAGTTATTCATTTTGCAGTTGTGTATTTATTTCAGCCGTCAGTAAGAGCGAAATGAAACCCTTTAAAAACCGCTAAATTGATTCAAAACCTATTTGATTTCGCTTTTTAGGAAAACCGTTTTTTTAAGGTTAAGGTAGAGCCAAACCTAAATAAAACGCTCCTAATGTACTTGACACTGATTTAGGTTTGAAAATTAACCGGTAAAGAAGCTCTGCCCTAGGTGCGAGTACTTCACAAGGTGCAAGTTTACTTCCCTTATGTTATTCTGCCACGCTCGAGTAAATCCAAAACTCCCCGCTTGGACTCCTATATCATTAGGTTTGTTCATGTATAGTCACTAATAAATGATAATGGATCGCGCGGCGGGCGAGGGGCGGCGTTTTGTACTTTAGCACGAAGCTGCCATAGACACCACACTATCCTTCGTCAAATATAACAATTTAAAAATAATTTGTGATACATTTTACACATTAAATAGGCGCGTACAAAACTAAACGTGTTACGGTTACAGAGTATTCTTTCGTATTTCAATACAAGATAAACTAGTCTAATCGAACACGCAAAACATGCATAATTTTTCCAGGACCACAATGTCCGGGATGCGATCACGTCAGATTCTAATATCATTTATATCACGATCGGACCGGGGAACGCACTATTTATACATAATATAAAAATCCACAAAAATAAAACGTTATAAAAGTAAAACTTCTACACAAAACAGGTACTCGAAACATACGCAATGCGCAGCTAGCATCACACACCATAGATTTCAACGTTCGACCTATTCCGACAGTCAAACTCCACTATATCTCCGGCAGTAATCGGAAAACATTATCGGTTTCCGTATGGCACGCGGCGCTCACGGTGCACAAGACTACCATCGACTCGGATGCCGATCTCGCGTTCAAGTGCACTTGGTCTTTCCGTCGAGCAGTTTGCGCCAGAGGTCGAACTGCTCGTGGTATCGCACCATATGTATGGAGATGGCTCGCTGGACGGCGCACGGGTGCAGCGCCAACTTCTTGTTGTAGAACTCGGGCGCGTGCACGCGACGGATCTTCAGCCGGGCGGCCAGCACGCCCGTCACGAACACGTCCTCCAGTCGCAGGTAGCGCTCGCTCGGCGCCGCCTCCAGCAGCGGCCGGATCGCGTCCGCCGTCATCAGGTAGGCGGGCCCGGTCGCGAAGTCCGGGAACACCCGCGCCGGGTACTGCACCGGCGACACGTAGTATTTCGAGCGGGTCGTGCGCTTCGGCAGCGATTTTTTTATCACCCTCCCCCACACGGTCGAGCTGGCGTTCGCTCGCGCGGGAGCGAACGCGAAGTCGAGGAGCCGCGGCACGTTGATGAACATGTCGTCGTCCGTCTTCAGCAGGCGCGGCGCGCGCGGACAGTACGCGTCCATCCACTCGAGCATCGACAGCGTCTTGAGCGTCAGGTTGGAGTACGAGTCGAGCGAACGGCTCACGATGAGGTCCGAGTACAGCGCGTCCTCGGTCTCGAGCGCGGGGCGCAGCGCGTCGGGCGGGGCCCCCAGCACGAACGCGATCGCGACGTCGGTCCGCGTTCCGTAGTGGCCCCACGTGAGGCGGATGGCGTCGCGCGCGGCGCGGTGGGAGGGCGCCGACGTCACCAGTATCATGAGCCGCAGCCGGGCGCCCAGCGCGGGGCACAGCTCCGGGTGCGGCCGCTCGTGCCCGGCCACGTACACGTCGCCGGTGAGGACCGGCCGCGGCGAAGATTTCGCGGGCTGGGAGACGTTGGCCGCGGCCGCCGCGGGTTTCGGTTTGGGCGGAGGCGGAGGAGGTGGAGTGCGACGCGTTGCGGTCGGACGGGCGGTGGTGCGGTTGGTGGGAGGCGGAGGAGTGAGCGAGACGGGCGCCGACGCGACGGAGGGGGAGGGGGACGGGGACGGAGAGGATCGAAGAGTAAGAGTAAGAGGCGCGGATACTAGCGGGCGCGGGCGCGGCACCGACGGCGCTGGAGGTCCGGGCGGGAGTCGCGCCAGCAGCAGCAGCAGGAGCGCGGCGAGTGCGGCCAGCGCCAGCGCCGTGGAGCGCCGCACCGCACCCATCGCGCGCCCTCACCGGGGACACGCACACGCACACGCCTGAAACAACACACCACACGATACGTCACTTTTATATACGAAGTAAATCGAACGGCTCCGCTTAATCTGGCTTAACATTATGAAACGCTCACATTGCTAATATGTTGGAGGAGCTCTGACACGCTAGTGGTTAGCGCGCGGCCGGTTGCGATAATTGAAATTGAGCAACTTTCGCAGTGGTCGAGATGCGTGACCAAATATTTACTATCTCCAGCTCCTCCGTGCTTCGAAAAGCACTTTAAGCCGTTGGTCCCGGCTACATCTGCAGTCGCTGGCACCCTCCAATCCACACTTGGCCGGCGCGGTGGCAATATTCTGGTTCGCGTGGATTTTTTCCTAGTTAAATTTTCTTTATGTTTCTGTCTACTTCGAAATATTATCAAGTTCAATTTTGTGGTAATGCATTTTCTTAGAATTGGCGTGACCTAAAACCTTGTACCTTCAAATTCTGTAAAATAAAAAGGACAGGATTTATTCGTGGTTAATTTTAACGGAATCCTAAAACGAAATATTTATATTAAACACGTGTAGGTACATATTAATTCAAATTCGAAAGACTTCCTTAAATTTCTTTAAGGCCGTTTAAATTTTCACAACATCCATTCTGAATATTTTATTTGAAGAGTTCAATGGCTTCGCAGATACCTACGTGACCTACAGCATACAGACAGACAGGCCGACTGCGTCTGACTTCATGTAAATACGTTATTTCGATCACACAGATGCAACACCGATTGTTTCATGTGACGAAAATAAAATTGCAAAGTATGAAACAGTGTCATGAGAACCGATGATTCACAAATAATTACGACGAAACTTGCTCCAGAGATAAAACATTGGGTGTATGCTGACAAAATGAAACGAAATAATGATACCTATAATATAGTGTCATTTTTAATCAGAAAATCAACTCCCATATGCAGCCAAATCAATACACATACTACTATAATTAAGAAAGAAATAATTTATTGATCAATAACATTAAAAAATAGAAATAAAAACATAAAATAAAAACACTGAATAAGGTCAACTTGGTCCCTGCTTCAGCACAATGCCACAACGACACCAAGGCCGCTACAGGGCTTATATTCTGGCAGGTCCTAAGGTTGGCGTGAATAAAAGCAGTCATATAAATCACATCACGGTTAAAAATACCAAAAACAAATATATCTAATATATAAAATTCTCGTGTCGCGGTGTTTGTGGTTAAACTCCTCCGAAACGGCTTTCCCGATTCTCATGAAATTTTGTGTGCATATTGGGTAGGTCTGAGAATCTATTTTTCATCCCCCTAAATGTTAAGGGTAATCCACCCCTAATTTTTTTCAATTTTAGATTTTTTTTTATTTTTTTATGAGACATCATACAAAAATACATGCAAGCCTAAATTTTCACCTTTGTACCACCAACCCCTATTTTTTTATGGTGGTACGAAGTTCGCTGGGTCAGCTAAAAAAAAAATACCAAAAACAAATATGTATATGTATATGAAAAGGCTTTTGTTTTTTTATTGCCTTAAGCTAATATTTGTTTTAATATATTGTTAATAACGTGTTTAATTTTACCACTAATTTGTTGCAATTGACATTGATAGAGAAGGCCGGTGTCCTAGCAGTGGTGATGACCGATGATGTGGATGACAAGCCGCGTGAAGGTTCTATGGTGAAGAGTTGTAATTTACATGTCACCTGTCACGTTATACGCTGGGGTAATACAACTAATACGTGACCGTCACTGTCACTACGTCCATGAGAACTTAATAAAATGCTTCCCGTTTACAATGTTGGTATTAAATATGACTTTTATAAAAGGATATGGAAAACAACGGTAATTAATGAAGCTCATGTTCGATGCGTAAGCTAAAACACTGTGGCTTATATCGCCATAGCAACATTTTTGTTAAAATGGCAACTGATAATTAGGTATCTTTGCTGTGCGTTATTTAACCGTTGACGGGTTCCAAATTAAAGCCCGTGACACTACAATAACGCGTACGTACTTACATACATACAATTTTACGTATAAAGGGCAAGTCATTTTAATCTAACGACGCAATCATAATTCCCATTACCGCATGCATTAAGCACCTTCCGAATGTCTCGATTTTACGACATACGTTATGAGTTGAGACGCGCGTTAACTATCAAAATAATGGCTTTATTCATTGCCTTTTCTCTCTAAAACTGAATTCGTATATTATTACAGTTTCCATTCTCTTTGGCAATTATTTGAAAAGATTGTAGACCGCTTTAAGTTTGGACATTATTGAAGTTGATCTGCGAAAAAGTATGTTTCTATAAATTCATTATGTGATTGTATGTGTGTGTCAAGAACACGGTAACGTGTGTATTGCTGATTTTATTTTTGTCTAATAGACTATATACTATTAAATTCAGCTTAAGTGAACTCTTGTCTTGTGAAAAGCAACTCTGAAGTTGCAAATCCCTAAAAAACCTCAATCGTTAGGAGACTCATTCATATTTATAATGAAATCTCTTAAACATGACCTTCGCGAGCGCACGATAACATTAAGCATTATTTACACTATACGCAGACGTGTGTTTAATAACTTCGTCACGATTACATCCAATGTATGCGCGTACCAAAACCAGAAGCGTTGCTCTGAGGTATTGCTGATGATTCGTAGGTCGTCCAGTAAAGGACGCGTCCATTTGGTCACGACTCATGACCTCAAACCAATCGTATCTTGCACACCTTGTTCACTACTCGGGTGCTGTACGTGAAGAACTTTAGACAAGCTGACCAATGGAAAGCTCTTTTTAATAATCGTTTAATATTATTTCCTACTAGTAATTCAGGACGTCTTTCAACTTATAAGAAGAAAGGACTCAATAAACTAGTTAGTATTACCAGAAGCATATTTACATAAAATCATGTCGCTACCAATGCAATTGCATTAAAATATGTTACATAAAGATAGGAGAATTTAATGACAGGACTTATCAGACAATGAATATTTTGATATGATAAAAAGCTTACTGCTGACACGGGCAGACACCGATTGCAGATTATGTGTTATTGTTACGTACTGTATCATGGATATATTGTTTTATGATGTCATGTCTGTTTCCCAGAAGGGTAAGCAGAAACGATTGATACGTTAACAAGCGTGTGACAATCCTCCTCGCACAACGCATTCGCTTCCTCAATCCTGTTGTTTTTTTCGATATTTTTCGAGAAATAATATCACTAATTTCTATTTTATTCTACATCAGAATAATGATAGCTTCAGGATATATCATATTTATATTTGCATACCACGCAGGTCAATTGTGTATCAGTGTTATTATCTTTGCTGTATCGTTCTGATTTTATTTATTTTTAAAGCATTTAACTGCTAGAAGTCTAAATCTAAAGAAATCTAATTTTTTTCTAGTAAACTTTTCTTTAGATTTTGCTGTATCGTTTTTATGCCCTAGATTTGGGAATTGCTGGTGCAGGGTAATAGACCAGTAAGGAATTCTAGTAAGGGATTACTATTTCTTTGTTCAAGATATAGGTCCTGTGATGGGAGCAAGGACCTCAAAACATCTAATCAGAATAACAAACATTCAGGAAAAGTAACAATGGAACGAGTGAATGATTCAGCAAAAGGGGGCGATACTCTCTTGGGTTTATATTTGGCGAGTCCATAATATTAGCAATTTTCATCATACAAATACGCAAATAACAACAACAGCCTATCAATAATCATAAATAACCTTTTTATTTCCTGATATGTTGTGTCATGCGTGTGTGCGTGTGACGCAACTTCTTTGCTATTACTTCAGCCGAAATCACGATTTTACTTATTTCTTGTTTCCGCTTTTAAAAATAAATATGAACACTAAATTCCATACAACTTACAACCAAAATATTATTAAGTATTTAGTAAAGTATGACGTGATGAGGTGACTGTGAGTACACAGTATATTTTCTAAAGAAAATATAACTAGAAAAAATTCCACGCGGACCAGGCAGCAGACGGGACTCGAACCCGCACCCTTCGCAATCCGGGCAAATGCACTTGAAATTCTTCTAGCCATTCTTAAGCTGCAAGGCAGCGCTATCTCTTCGCATTATAGGTAACCCACAATGTCAAATGAATACTTTTACAAGTATTAAACATTTTAAAGAAGAAATAGCAATAATAGTTATAATTTTTATTATTTTAAAGCATGTAAGTAACCGCTTGATGTTTAAATCTAAAGAAAATATAATTAGAAAAATTAGCATAATTGGTCAGTGCCGGGCGAATCCCGGATTGCGAAGGGTGCGGGTCCGAGTCCCGTCTGCTGCCTGGTCCGCGTGGATTTTTTTCTAGTTCCAGCTCCAAAACTACATCAAAACATTTTCCTTCTACATAGATCTTTTATAAGTTACAGTACCCCAAACCAAAAAAATCATGGTGGCTCGATTTAGGTGTCCGGGAGTGCATATTGTTCTAATAACAAGTAGTAGTCCAGTAAAATCATCGTTGTTCCGTATCAAAAACTAGCCTTATAGTGTTACAATTGCCGAAGTCTGAAAAAACGGCGAAACTTTCGCGGATTCTTTTGAATTTTGACAAGTTGCGTTCGGCACTCGGGGCCACACACTTGGATTATTCATCGGGACAACATCAGAAACAAGCCTGCAAAAAATCAGAACTACCGGATTAACGCATATTCTGAAATATAAAATTTACTGCACTATAAACCTGAATTTCGAAAGATGTTTCCCAGAAAAGTCTAATGTTACCTTTTGCCCTAGTTAATGATTATTTGATTATTTTATTTTGAATTTTAACAGTAATTGTTAGTTAGCCGTTTAGTTAAAAATAATAAAAATAGGTTTACTCAATATAAAGGTCGAGGTTAAAGGCCATAAAGTAGTAAAACATTCTCGAAAACAAAGTGTTACTTATAAAGTAACCGAACATGAAAAGACTGAGGAATTACAAAACCACAACAAAGTTTACATCC